AAAAAAATCAGCCACCAAAAACCTTATGGGTCACAGGTCTGCTCTGGCCTGCATGGGGTCACGATCTGCTTGGATGGACACAACAGCCACTGGCTTGGTTTGGCTCCCACCATCTAGCCAACGCAGCTATGGGTATTTCTGAGCCTCACTTTCCTCCTTTAGGTAGACCGAACAATTAGAGGCACGTCCGGAGGATTACAGGAGATAGTGAAGAGTCACATTCTTCACACTCAATCCTTTTTCGGAGTATTGTTAGCTAAGCACCTAGAAGATCTTTGGACTCAGAGAGGGTGCTCAATTCACCTAGACTCACCCCGTGGTACTGCTGGAATGTTACTTGGGACCCCTCATTGGAGGTCCTAGGGGGAACTTACCAGGGGACTCTGCAGAAACTTGCCAGGCAGCCCAAATTGTGGGCCGGCGGGGTGGGGCAGGCAGTGGGGGAAGCTCGCAGGTGTGGGGTGGGGAGGTGAAATGACCCCTGCCTGGAGGCCCAGCTCCAGAGGAGCGCATTCCCAGGCCCTCGGCCACGGGTCCGCAGGTGACGAGAAAGGGGTGGAGGGACTGGAGAGCCCAGTTTGCCGTCTCCACGGCAACCGCCCGCGCGGCGCCAGTCTGACAGCCCTCCGGGTTTTATGAATGGGTGACGTCACGGGCCTGGCGTCTAACGGTCTGAGCCGCTTGTTTAGACGCTGACACAGGCCGGCCCGGGAAACAGGGGGGAGGCTGGAGCGCCGCAGCTGCCGCGCCGTGGGAGGGAGACCCTGCTCCGAGGTCTTGTGTAGGGGGAGGGGGCTCGGAGGGGGGGGAGAGGTGGAATCTTACGCAAAAATGGGATACGAGGACTAAAAATGACTTGTGAACTGCAGACTTAAAAAGTTTTGTTTCAGCCAGGAGATGCAAATTCAAGATAGAATCCCCAGGCTGCTGTAGTCTTGACTGCACTTGAGCGCTGTCTTCCATCGAGTTTCAGGTCCTCAAAGCCCAGCCCCACCCCCAAATACGTTCCTGAATTGCTTCCCACCTCGGAAGAGCTGAGTAGACACTGTTGCCCCAGGACCTCTGTCCCGCAGCTTTCTCTGGGAATTGGGCAAGAAAGGCCAGTCCCTGGGGCAGAATTCAAGGGGGAGATCAGGGTCTGAGAAGTAATCTTCCAAGAGGGTCCGGAAGCCGGGGGGCTCCCCCGATTCGTTAGAAGAACAAGAGTCAGCTGTTTTTCAATCCAAGCCTCAGTTTCCCTCGGGTGTAAAATGGAGCTGCAGAAGTGAAAGAAATGAACAACAAAAAAACCCCATATATACATATTTTTTTCCTGGGGTCTTTATCGATACCAACAATACAGGCTTGACTTGGCTTGCGTTTTTGAGGAGCCCAAGACAGCTTCACCTCCGTGAAACCACTGCCCCTATCCACGAATTTAAGGCTCCGGTCCCTTTAACACGCGCGGGAGGATGCCCTGGTTTGGCAGGAGGCGGGATCCTGGCGCCCGGGGAGGCCACGCCCCGGCTTCTCATTGGCTGCTTTTGAACGTGAGAAGCCCGCCCCTCGGGGGGAACCGTGGCGTCTGTATAAAAGCTCGGTGGTGGGGTCAAGTCTTGCATTTTACAACCTTTCCTAACACCTGGTGAGTCGGTTTTGCACACCTCACTCCGCTCACTTCGTCCCTTCGCCAGAGCCATGAAGGTCGCCAGTGCCAGTGCCACGGCTGCCGCGGGCCCCAGCTGCACGCTGAAGGCGAGCAAGACGGCGGGCGGCGCGGGCGAGGTGGTGCGCTGCCTGTCCGAGCAGAGCGTGGCCATCTCGCGCTGCGCCGGCGGCGCTGGGGGGCGGCTGCCCGCCCTGCTCGACGAGCAGCAGGTGAACGTGCTGCTCTACGACATGAACGGCTGCTACTCGCGTCTCAAGGAGCTGGTGCCCACCCTGCCCCAGAATCGCAAGGTGAGCAAGGTGGAGATCCTCCAGCACGTCATCGATTACATCTGGGACCTGCAGTTGGAGCTGGACTCGCAGTCCGCAGTCGGCGCCCCCGGAAGCCGCGGGCTGCCAGCCCGGGCCCCGCTCAGCACCCTCAACGGCGAGATCAGCGCCCTGGCGGCCGAGGTGAGCCCCGAGACCCTCTACAGATTGGGTGGGGGGCGGGGAGCGCCATCGAGTGGGAGAGGGGACCACTCTACGTCCCGAAACCTAACTGCTTGCATGCCCCAAGGACAACGGGATCCAGTGTACCGCCCCCCCCCGGGGGGCGACCACCCCCTGTCCCCTCCAACCCGCTCTTCTAATCGCCCCTCTCTTCCACAGGCGGCCTGTGTTTCAGCGGACGATCGGATCTTGTGTCGCTGAAGATCGGACTCGGGAGGGACGAAGCCCAGCCCTGGCAAAGGGCGAGGGGGAAGGTGCTCTCCGGGCCTCCCACGAGCGCCTCGCCGGAGCTGGAGAGGACGCGACTGAGACGGCGGTCGGCGGCCCCTGTGGGTCCGGGCCCGGGGCTGGGCGACTGGAGAGCGGAAAGCCAACCTTGCTGCCTGCCTGCCTGCCTGCCGCCAGAGACTCGGAACTTGTTGGGGGCAAAAGGGAGTGTCCTGCCCCCATGTTTCTATTTTTTGAAAAGCAGATGTTTTAAAAAAAATGGTCACGTTTGGCGCTTCTCAGATTTCTGAGGAAATGTATTACTTGTATTGTATATTACAATGGTCACCGACTGAGAATATTGTTTTACAATAGTTCTGTGGGGGTGTGTGTCTTTTTTTGTTATTAAACAAACTTTAGATGATGGTAGAGGTGCAGTTGTTTTCTTGGGTTGGGGGGAGGGCACTGGCCTAGGGGGTTGACCCCTGACCTCCTTTGCAGCTGGTGCCTGGGAGGGGGTATGAGGGGCCACATCTGGGTGGTTTCTTAAAAACTTCCGGTGTCTTTTAAAAGTATTCTTCCCCCATGCTTAGCCAACCCCCCTCTTGCCTCCCCAGTGTCACACAATTAAATCCTATAGACTCCTAGTAGTTTTCTCAACGTGCTCATCCGGCTTTCTGGGGAAGTTAACATGCAGATGAACCTGCCAAGACTGCCTTTGGAGTAGGGTTGTTCAAGGGGCCTGTTTCAGTCGGAAAACTGGGTCAGTGGACCACCTGCCATCTTGCCAAGAATTAGGGAAATGGAGACCCAGGGGTTTATCCAATCAGTTCCCCAGAAGGAGGTGCGTCCTCAACAAGCCACCTCTTCCCCCTCCCCCCTCCCCCAGGTTGCCCTGGGCTTTCCCAGCTTGTCCAAGTGGGTGAGCAAGCTGGCAGGGCCACACAGGCACAGCTGTTCAGCCACCTGCTCTGGGTCCAGGCTCAGCCCCCTCACCCCAGCCTGGCTCTGCCAGCAGCTCAGGATCCTCCTCTCCCCAGGGCTCCTGTGTGGGCCCAGCTGAGGGGTGGGTAGGTTATGTCCCCAGCCCTTCTGAAGGAAAAAGTGGTTGGCAAGGTCCTATCTCCCTGGGCATGTGTGTGTTCAGCACCCATCGGGTGTGCATGTGGATGTCTGGGCCTGTGTATCACAAGGGAGCTGGCAAATACCCCTCTAAGGCTAGAGCATAAGTTTATGGACAACTTTGGGGGTGCAGAGGGCATTCAATGGGGCCAGAGAGCCTGTCTTGTGTGCTGCAGAGAACTGTGTCACCCCAGCAGTTTGGGCTTGTGTGTGTTGCCTAAATGCATTGTGGGCATCTCTCGGATCTAGCACCATGGAATCCCACATGTGGGCTTTTCTGTAGCTGCCCACTAAGAGCGTCCCCTTGGGGGGGTGGGAAAAGGCAGAGGCAGCTGTGTGCAGGCAAACCCTTGCTCAAAAGCTGGAAATAATCTGGGCAACTGTTAGGCCCTGGGGACACCCATGTATCCCTGACATTGTCAACTTCCATTACTCGTGGGGAAACTGAGTCCTGGAGGCAAGAACTTGCTCCCCGGAGAGAGGGCAGGGACGACTACGTTTTGAAAAAGACCAGAAAAAGCAACTGAGCGCCATGAGCCAGGCCTGCCGCACAGGACCTGAGTGGCGCCAAAGGTCAAAGACCAGGTGAGGACGCCCGGTTCCGTTCTACAACATGGAACAGGCACAAGGAAGGCAATGGTCCACATTGAAAAAACGCAAAGATTGTTGAACAATAACATCGGGCCCCCTTACCACCAACCTGCCCCAGCACTTTATGGACGTTGTCCAGAGCCCGGTGTTACAGGCCAAGGACGCCCAGCGCCGCCCTGCTCCCGCCCCAAATGAAAAGGAAGCGCTAACACGGAATGTGTGGTCGTTATAAAGTTATTATTACAGCTCTTCCTTGCTGCCTGCGTGTCCTTGGAGCGTTCTCCGAGGCACACGTGCGCGCCCCCCCCTCGTGGGCCCCGTGTCTGCGCGCCCACCCACGGGGACGAGGGCGTGCCCCCGCGTGTACTCTCCCACACTGCGGGGGAGGAAGGGGCTGCGGCGGGGTCCCCGGCCGCCGCCCCCGCCCGGCAGTCGCATGCTGGGTTCCACGTTTCCCTCTTTTCCCCTTTGGCCCGGGCCCAGCCCATCTGGAGGCCGGCTCGGCGGCGGCCTGGGAGCTTTTCCATCAGCTGGGCCCGAGGAATGCAGAGCTATTTAACCTGAGCATCCCCAGGTGTACGGAGGCGCCGCGCTGTCTGGGGCCCGCCGCCTTTGGCACAGCCGGCCGCGCGAGACAAACAGCGGGCCGCCCCCGCCCTGCCCCGCC